TAGTCATCATGCTGTAAAAAAAAGGTTCGATTCTGTTAATTGCTGTAAAAAAAAAAAGTTCATTATCATAATCATCCAGATGTATACAAAATAAGGTGCAACATATAAAAGCGACCATGAATAGGAAGTTTAACTAACCTCAGGAAGGAACTGATGATGAAGTGGCACGAATAAGACCTAAACAAGTTGAAATAATTTTGCTGAACCTGAACAACGAGACAAAATAACGATGTGAACAAACCCCAACAATGAGACGAGATGGCGTGAATAAAAAAAAAGCCTGAACCAAGCTGTAATCAACTTGAATGAGACGGAATGGTGTGAATAAAAAAAAAAAAACCTGGACCAAGACGAAATAAGTTGTGACCAATCTAAACGAGATGAAAAATAGCTGTGATCAAACCTGAATGGTTACTGGAAGCCTATTAGAACTTTAATATTGCAATTAATAAATGGTATAAAAAAAAAAAGAAAGAATATGACAAAGAGAAAAAAATATGCCAGACTTCATGAATATAACTATAAAAGAAAAAAAATAGTTTAGCAAAAGTGAGGAGAAAGGTATATTTTAGAAGAGGAAATTCAGGAGGATTTTGAACAAGATTCGGAGGAAGATAATGGTCAGGAAGAAGATGAAGGGACAGATGAAGAAGAAAAGACACGTATACATCTACTTGCCGCACCTCTCATATGGAAAAATAAACCAGAAATAAGGACAGTTAAAGGTATGCCGAAATCAACTTATTATCGTAAGTTCAGCACTTCCAGTATTCTTGCCAATGCTGTCAGAGGAACTTCTAAAATCACCAGCTTTTTCGGGTCTCCAACATCAGCATCATCAATGTATTCAGCGTCTTTGGCATCTTCAGTAACCCTAATGTATTCAGCATCTTTGTCTTCAGTAACTCCAATATATCCAACTGTGACCAGATTTGATAACAATGAGGATATAAGTGAGGATAGCGATGATGGTAGTGGTAGAAATAGTAGTGAAGATGCATCTGTTGCCCTTGGAGATATAATTGCTTAGCTTCAGGAAGACCTCCTGAATAATGAAAAAACATTCACAGCTTTCGAATATAATGAATGGCAAGTTGTATATGAATATTTTGTATGGTTATATGATGGTCACAGAAAAATGAAAGCGAGTAAAATTGTGGCAAGCATAGTTTATGTTTCTCCAAACCCATATAAATACAAGAGAATTCACTTTCTTGGTGAATTTTATTTGCGTCATGAATGTTTTTCAGTCTCCCATCGTGGTCAACATCAAAAATGCAAAAGATTAATTGATGATAAAGACATGGCATTAAAATGTAATCAATGAATAAGAGAACATTCAGGAATCAATAGCATTAACCCATCCCAATTCAAACAATATATTAACTGTACTATTTTACCTGAGCATGTAGGAGGGATTAGAAAATCAGTTAGCTTAAGAATGGCTAAAAGATGGTTAAATATTTTAGGATGCAGATTTGAAAAATACAAAAAGGTATATACTTTAATAGACACGAGAAAAAGGACATTGTTGAATATCGGAAGAGGTTTTTGGAGGAAATAAGGACTTTAGAAAAAAGGATGGTAAGGTATGAATGAAGTATTATAGAGCCGATTCCACCTGTACTTGAAGTAGGCGAGCGAGAGTTGATTTTTGTCACTCATGATGAGTGTAGTTTCTGTGCAAATGATGGAAAAAGAGGAATTTGGATGCACAATGAGAAAATGCCATTGCATAAAAAAGGGAATGGAAAGTCAATTATAGTGAGCGAATTTCTTTTAGAAGTGTGTAGAAGGTTACAATTAAGTGAAGAAGAAAAAAAAAATCCTAATATTCCTGCAGAAGCATGCTGTTACTTTACATCTGGTAAAAATCAAGAAAATTATTGGATGGTCGAACATTTGTTAAAACAAATTAAGAAGAAGGCAATACCTATTTTTGAAACAAAATTCCTTAATGCAACGGCCGTTTTTGCCTTCGATAATAGTACAAATTATTTAACGTTTGCAGATGATGCCCTTGTGATGCAAAGAATGAACAAAGGCCCTAGAGGAAAGCAAAGTATAATGTGACCGATGACTTTTATTAATAGCAATGGACAATTAATAGAACAAGAAATGGTATTTGAGAAGAATTACTCCGACCCTGATCTGAGAGGAAAACCCAAAGGAATAAAAAGAATGTTAGAGGAAAGAAGCCTATAGAAAGAAGGGTTAAATTTGGAATGTTTAATATGCAAAAAAAAAGAAAATCCTGGACAAATTGATTGTTGCTTGAGGAGGATTATGGCTTCTCAACCAGATTTTTTGGCTCAAAAGTCTGCTATCATGGAATTAATCGAAGGTGCCAACCATATTTGCATTTTTTATCCAAAGTTCCATTGCAAACTTAACTTTATTGAAATGTATTGGGGTATGGCTAAAAGGTATACAAGGAATCACTGCGACTATACATAGATTGGCTTGCAAAATACTGTTCCAAAAGTGCTTGATTCAGTAGATATCATTATGATTAGAAAATTTGCCAGAAAATCATGAAGATATATGGAGTTATACCATAAGGGACTGACAGGAAAATTAGCAGAACGAGCGTGCAAAAAATTTAAATCATATAAGCGAATTTCTCAAAAAGAATTAACATTATTTTTACAGAAAAATGGTGGCAATAACGTTTAAATATACTAAGATATATATATATATTTTTTAAGGCACTACGCTAATTTATTTATTTATTTTTATTTTATTTTATTTTTTTTTTTGAAGTTTTTTAAAATAAAAATTAATGCAATTAATTATTAGTAAAATGGCATTTGATGTAATCCTATATGTGACATTCATAAGGGTAGACAAATAGAAATAAGAATGCTGATTGATTGCAGTAAAGAATTTTAATTTAAGGTTACAAAATATGAAAATGTAATCGTGTGGATTCTTTTGATTAGATTAGATATCAAAAGATTGGTTGAGTTTAATGTCTTTGTAATATGCGATTAATTCAATATGAATAAATAGCATTAATTAACTCACAATTAAAAAAAAAATTTGTTTTAAAAAAAAAAAAATTTTTTTCTAAGCCGGAATTTTTTTGTAAGCCAAATTAATTATTTATGACCCAAATTATGCAATAGGTTTTATTTGTACAGCTACTTCAAAAAGATCGACAAATATGCATCCATTAGGTATCTTTGAATAATCAAAACAATAGTATAATATTTTATCTCAAGGTAAGGATAGAGATTACAATAAGACATATTTTATACAAATTTTTTTGTTAATGCAGAGGTAATTTTATAGTCAAAATTTCAAGTTATTAACTGTTTTTTGGTATCGATCGGTGATGTAAATTGGACCAGCACAGTGGGTGCAGCTACATGGATTTAAATTTTGCACATTAAAATGATTAGCGCTCTATAATATGTAGAGTGCATATAATTTTTTTCTGTGCCTATTTTTAAATTTGCTTAGGCGAAAAATGCACACATGATTCTAGAGTTTGCATACATGCTATTGAATATAATATGCGCTTCATTGAATTTATAACACTGGTATCGATCCCTGGATAGTGTACCTGCATGTAATATAGTTCGAATCTGGTTTTATTTTTTTCTCATTCTAATGCTAAAACTGATTAACCAAACACTAATTTGTAATTTAATTTGTAAACTATGCTGATTATCACGTGACCAATTTGTTGAATATGTGTAAATGCATTTTTTGTCGATTCTTTTATATTTGAATTTTAATGCGAAAATGGGACAAATCACGTGATTTCTGCCTTTAGGTGTCCAGATCTATATAAAGAAGGAAGAAGGAAGCACCTTGTTCATTGTTATGTATAGTGTAGTAATTGTCTTTTGTCTTAGTCATGTGACACACATGCAACACCTGATTAAATTTTAGTTATTATTAGGTTTTAAAAGTGTATAGCATATATTAGCGCTAAGAGCCGCAGTGTGGCATACTTCCATATCATATATTCATCAATAAAGGTGATCTGAGCAAATATAAAAGGAATAACAGATTTAGAAACGATTGTACTTGATTTTGTCAATTTACTTTGGAAACAAAAAAAATATTAAGAATAATATTATAAATTATGATATTGTCGTTCAGTAAGTCGGCGAATCTGTCAATAATCTCTTCCAATTCTCATGTAACCTACAGCAGCTAAGTCGAAATAGGTGCATTAGATTTGACAGGGTGGTTTATCTGTAGGTAAGTACTAGTTTTCTTCTCTTTCTTAGTCTTTCCTTCAACCTATTCTTCTATTAACCTCTGCTTCCTCTTATCTTCTTCTTCTTTAACTTGGGACTACGATATGTCGAATTGGGTTGAAGTTCTCTTCATTTAATAGCTTGGTCATGTGATCTGTGGTGAACGAATAAAAATGTGGTTTTAGTGATTTAATAATAGGCGATTGGTATTTGATTATGGTGTTTTTAATGATAGTTTTAGTTTAGGTAGGATTATAGTTTATTTTTAATATGGGTTCGATACTGTAAGTTTATTTAAGCAAATGTATGTACTTGGGAGTATTACTTGTTACTTTTCCCCTAGGCAGAAAGCCCTTTATTTATAATAAAACTTTTATTTACATTTGAGGATTATTTCCTCTACATTATCTATTTACAATACTTCATCTCTAAAATCTCTTTTTCAACCATATTAACCAAAAACCTAATGCCTCCTATACTGTTGTTCTACTCGAAGTAACTAAAGTAATAAAAGTAAGAAAAGTAAGGTTTCTCTTACTTTTCATGTGACCAGTTACTCAGGTAGATGACGGGACCTAATTTCGATGATCGGTCATATGAGGCCATGACTGATTTCAAGACTTACACTATTAGTTATACATATCTAAGATTTAAATGCAAGGATAAAATATAGTATAGGTGATGCCTTAATAAATAATTAATTGATTTTAAAATGAATGTCACCTATACTATATTTTATCCTAAGACATCAATAATTACATGATAGATCAATTCTTCTAACATCGATCCTATGATACCATGTCAAAAATAACTAAAAAAAGACAACATTTTATGTTTGGAGCCCTAATTATTATGTCTCTTAGTTTTATAATAAATTCATAAAGTAATCTTTATTTTTAATTATTTTTTGCATTTTATCCTAAGTTTTGTAATCTGTTAAAAGGAACTGTATGAGAGTTCATGATTTTTATTTATGAATCAAATTTATACTACTTGATTATGGGTTAATGTAGAAAGTGTTGGATCTGCATAATTGTTTATTTGAATCAAAATCACTTTTACTTTATTTTAATATGTTTGCTTATAATATAATAACATATTTAGGATATAGAGTAATTCTTATTTTCTAGCTGATAAATTATTTGGGCTAGCTGCTAAGAAAAGGGACCAAATTGACAAAAAAAAAGATCTTCAGAAAATCAATTTTTATGTTATAAAACTTATAATAAATTATAAGAAAATGCAAACTTTGAAGAGTTATATTACAAAATTTTATTAATACAATTACTTTTGTATCTTAAATAAAAAATAATTCTAATCTTATGTAAAAAAATATCCTTTGAAAAAATTGTCAATTTGGTCCCTTTTCTCAGCACCTAGTCCATTTGTTATTAAAATCTTTTATTAAAGATTAAACCTAATTTTGGATCAATTTCCAAATGTTGAACATAAATTAAGATTGTTTCAAGAGTTTCATAGAGTAAGGCTTGAAAGGTTTTCATTTCACTTTTCACACCTCCGACTAATAAATTTGAAATCAGAAATTTTGTCAAACCAGGTATTTACAGCTTACACATAAGATTAATTGTCAATCGTTTGGACTATATTTTTGGATAAAATCTAATTTTTTAAACTGTCAGTGAAGTGATGAAACTTAAACATATATTGAGTAGAAGAAGATCAGGGTTTTTAATGAATTCAGCTTTATTAGTAATAAATATCACATTTATTCACTTTACACGTAATCTATCTATTTTCTAAGTATATATGATAATTTTGTGTGTATTTATTAAACTCTCCAATGCACCAGCATAGCAGGCTTTAATTCTGATTGGTCAATAATCGAAATGTATAGTTACATATACACTGCATAAAACAGCTATTTTGAATGAATTTTTGTTATAAAATTGAATTGTTAAAGGTTGTGACATGTATATTCTGAAACTACACTTTATACTCTATAACATATCAAATTAATCTGAGAAAAGGTCAATTAATCCAGAAGTTAGCAACTGGGTGCACTTTTTGTCAAGGTAATTTAGTAATCAGTAAATTAAGTCACACCTTAATTAATAAGTTTTAAGTTTTTCTTTTTTAAACTTGAAAAATAATGGTTTAAACAATAATACAATTAGTTTTTTCTTTTTTGAATATAAGATTATTCGATTAAGTTTTACAACATATTAAACACATATTAAACATAGAATATGTGTACACGCTTTGTTCCTAGTTAGTGTTTGGTTTTTATAGTGTTCATATCATTCATGAGCATGTTTTATACTCATTAATCTTTGATGATTCGTTTCAATTAATTTATGTTATTATTATTTATATTGTTGTCTTGTTATTAAACCATGTACTAGTTAGTAAACGATTCGATTAATAAAGATTATTTATATATTTTGATTACTAAGAGATTGTTAAGCTTAAAGATATTACATTTTTATTAAATTAATTAGCCAAATACGTATTTGACAATGACTAATAGAATTAATACATTAAAATATATCGTACAGGTCTTATGTAACAACCTGTGCTTTTTTTATTCATATGAAAATCATGTGATTTTCATATATACCCGTGCAAATCAGTTATTTTCGTCTTTTACTAAAGACTACGTTACTATAAATTCAGAAATTATTATTTATTGGGTGAAGATTAATGTTAGCTTAGTTTTTAAATTTTTCATTTCTGGACGAAGACAAGTACTAATAATATATGCATTAAATAATGTAGTTTTTAAAACTCTCATTTACTGGCAGACCAAATAAAGAAGTAAATGGAGATCGAGATCAGGTAAATAAATTGGAATGCTTTATTTTATTCTTTATCAATATTTCATTTTCATGTTCATTGTCA